AAGATGATCTGATAACAGACCGAAACGTATGTTATATGTAGTTTTAGTTTTATTATAAATACAATGTTTCAATGTTAACACTCATTGTCAGTTGCAGCTCTATGCTCTATATTTTCTTTAGTTGATTTATTAATCGTCTAAGCCTTTGATATTTAATCTCATTTGTCTTTGCAGAGTTTGATAAACGATTTTCCTTCAAACATAGCGATCTTCTTGGAAATTATAATTTTTGTAGCACAAATTAAACTAATTACGTCATTTTTAAATCATTTTTCTGTAAATTGTGCGAGGAGAAGAGGTGGCATTTCGAAGATACCGCTAAATCCCAAATGTTAAGATAAACTTTATACTTTACAAAACTTGAAATTATAAACTTGAAAGATCAATATTGGAATGAGTGAGCAAGTTTGAAAATTGTTGGACGCAGTGCTCCTTTTTCGAATTTGCAGTTTGCAAGATTGCAAGATTGCAAGATTGCTCCTCAACAATATTTAGCTCGCCTGTGTCATCCGCCTTAAATTGGACTTCCGCGTCCTTGACTGCGAATTCGCGTGATATCATTCACCGAAGGACCGGACGGCTGTACGTGCGAATCGAGCACGTACAAATCACGCTTTCGACACGCACGCATACGCCAAACTTATCGATAAGTATACGGTCATTCTCGTTGGGATTATACTCACGCAGCAAATCAATAAGGCCAAATCACCTTACCGGGAAAATCCAATATTCGCGCAAAAAGATCAATATATCAGCAACAATTGCCTTAAGAGTGAATCTCACTTTAATCCTCTCTCGAACGTGTCCGGAAAATGTCCTTCAATGTTCTCGAAGCTCTTGTGAAAAGTCGACGAGTAACTTATCATTAACTTTCTTCTACAGAAAGCTAATAATCGCTCGTGGAAACAATAATAAGCGCAGTGAAAATACAAGTGTAACGCTTTTATCTATATTTATATTTTTGCGACACGTGCGAATAAAACAAGGACGTTGAACGAAGAAAGTTCTATGTTTTTTATTTCGATTTGAAACCTGTTTTCATAAGTAAATAGCCAATGAATAAATTAATATTTATCCATCCAAGATTTTTATTGGATAAATATTGACGAGAAAATTCACGCATGAAAGAAATAGCTGGGAGTAATAAATAATTTCGTCGAGTTATTAGAACGACAGACGGGAGCAGCGACTCCCGTCGAAAAAGAGCGCGGCACAATGTCGTGAATGGATTAAATCGCACGTTATCGCTAACGGTTATTTATAGAGTGCGGTGTCGATACGCCGCGAGCGCGAGGAAAAGAAGTCCCTTTGCGTCCATCCGAACGAGTAGAAAGATGCAATAACAATGAAATACAAGTCCGCTGCAAAATAAAGCGCTACTTAGAAGTTGACCGAAGAAGTGAGAACTTTCGCTGTCTTCGGTGCACTCTTGAAACTAGCGCATATCTCTCCTCTATTGCTCAACCACTCATAATTCAAAAATTCATTAGCGTCTCAGGTTTATACAGATATACACTCTGCGTATTTCTATCAAATTAAAAGAATAATGGAAGCAGGGTTGTTCCAGAATTAGAACCGATTTCGGGGCATCCGGATTTTAGATTTTTAAATGACTGCATCTATCAAATCAGACTCTCTCTCTTATTCTCCCTCCTCCTCTCGTAATTCCGTGTAGTGCTTTTCTCCAAGTCTGAAGTCCGACTTGCGCGAGAGCCTGAAAATTTGACGAGGTGTATAGACGAGCCGCGCGCTGGCGCACAGGCGACCGAATCGGCGGACGCGGAAACATTCGCGGATGAACCTTCCGTCGGACGAATCAATAACGGGAACCCTCGGGTGTGAAGGAGACACCTCCGGAGCGGCGGCAGCGGCAGCGGCAGCGGACCCGCTCACTCGCTCGCTGCGCGCGCGGGGATGTCCCACGCACAATGTGGCGTACCTTCTGCGCGCCCCCCGCGTTTGTTCACCCGCTCCAAGACGAAGGTAAGTTTCGTTTTGGGCGCAGGTAGCTACGGGACCCCCGAGTTTCTTTTTTTTTTGGTATATTTCTAGCATTGTTTTTCTTGTACACCAGTAACTGTACCAGGCGAGCGACTGCATTAAGCTGTGTCACATGATGCGCATTCGTGCCGGTGAAAAGTCATGTAGACGTGATCGATAATGACAAAGATTTGATCTTTGATGCTCCTCCAGAAAAAGGAACGAGGTCGTCAGGATGAACACAAAATATTGCACAGAAAATTATAAAACACAACTGAAAAGAGCACCTATACTTGAATGTATGAAAGTATTTATATTTGTGTATAAATATTTTATATGTGCATGTTTAGCATCTATGCACAGAAATGTATTATATTAATTTTCGAGGGAAGAGACAGAAATTGAGGAAAGCTCTGAGATTGAAACTCTTTTAAATCGATGAAGAACTTTGCGCGAAACGAAGAAAAAATATGATAAGAGGGGTGCTAGTTTCGTCAGTTACGTTACTGATTAGGATAGAGGAGCATGGGACGGCTCGCAACGTGTAACATGGCCGAGGCCTTGTCTCTCCCTCCCTCTTGCCGCCCTCTCTACCGCACAGACAAGCTTTCAAGGTCGGTTACATTCAACTGGAAAATCACTCGCTGTAATGCTGTTAGATAGCGCCACGTTACAGCGTCTGCAAAACACGTGGTGCAACAAAAGTCGCGCGATTGTTGAGGAGAGGGGACCCTACAGTAAAGCCACTTATCAAGAAATAATCTCCAGAATTCTCTAAGATTCTAGGGATAAAAATGTTCAAATTTTTTTATACTCTAAGGCCCAGTTCAACAGTGGCCAGTTAGCTTAACTAGTAGTTAAGCTAACTGGCCACTGTTGAACTGGGCCTAAGTTGCGAGGATTGCGAGGAATCGAAGTATTTAATGTTTTTTAGCAATAGATCCCAACAGCAATAATACCCTGTGTATCTGTAGAATACATATACTAAGGATGTACATACTCGAATATAAAGTTCACTGGTCTATAAACATGTTCTTTTGCTAGAAAACGATCATATTCATTTCGTTTCTAAAGAATTGATCATGCACTTATTACTATTTTTGTTGTTTAATTGTATTAATTGTATGAAAAAATGGTGAGAACGAAAAACATTTTTAAAGTACTTTAGCATATACTGTCTTACGTCGATAAAACTGAAAATGTGAATAGAGTTATCGACGATTGATAAAAATCAACAGTCGGTAATTATCTTTCTCGTAACTGTTTAAAGTTTTCGTGTCGTGTGAATAAATATATCTAAAAACTACTAAAGATGCAATTTGCGTTATCGGATTATGCATATATATAACATTCGTAGCGGATCATAAATATTATTAATAGTCATCAAATTTTCTACACACAACACACTTTTGTATTTAACTACATGTTGGACATGCAGCTTATTTCTATTAAATTGCAAGAAGTAATAAATTGATTAGTAACGTTCCAGAAAAATTATAAAATATAAGAATTATGGCAAAGATTATTTTACGGGAAAGATTATATAGACACTGCAGAAATGCTACATGCAACAGATAATGGATAATATATGTGTGAAAGAGATACAGAGAAGTTAGATACATGTTTGAAAAAATGGCAATATGAATATAAAAGATTAAAAAAGATTTAAAAAAGAAAAATTACTGCGCGCGTGTGAGTTAAGGAAAGAATTTTTAAATTGTTTAAGGATCGATCGCTGAAAAGTGTACTACATATTTCAATCTACATCGAGTAATGGAAAGTGTGATGACACATATGCTTTCACGCCAAACTTTACACGAATTCATCATTGATGCTATTTAGGACATCGAGTACACATTGAGTTAGAATTAACATATATGCACAGACATAAATTAACTTCTTAATGATTGTGTAGCAATAGTAAGTTACTTAGAAGCAAGCATTCCAAGATGTTAAAGAATGAGACGTTAAATCAGTGGCACTCAAATGCCACGAAAGGTCACACACGATACAAGTCAGAGAACTCTTTCACAGGTTACTTATCAAAAATTACGGGCTTTCAAATAGCGAAATCTTTAGGAAACACGACGTAAGTGATTTGTTCAAGCGATAATGACAATCGCATAAAAGTATTAATTGGTCAATCAAAGATATATATTACTCTTTTTAAATTAAATATAAATGGAAAAAGTTATTAAATAATTAAGTTATTTTGTATTACTACATGCGCTATATTTGCTATTATTGACCTTCTCTTTATTGTAGAAATGTATAAAACGCATAAAAAAAATTATAGAATATATCATAGATATATTTATAATTTATTTCTCATTTTTTTAAATAAATAAATTTTAAATTATTCCGAAATTTTTCCTATTATAATTCTCAGTAATGTTCTTTGAATAAAATCACATACTGATCTAATAAGAATTCTTTTTTAAATATAATAATGAATAGAAAAGTAATATATAATCTAAAAGAAACTGACATAAAGAGATGTTTTCTTAAGATTTAAACGAATTATTTCATAATTAAATAAACTAAATAACTTTTCATAAATGCAAAATAACAAAAAATGTACAATCTAATATACTATGGTTGAACAAAAATTGTCACTGATCGCTTATACAATATCTCTTTTTCACGGCGATACCTGATATTCACGTCCATATTTACGTTCCAAGTAACATTCTACGGTCCACCAGCAATACTATTACGAGCACTGCTAATCAGAGGATAATTCTTCAAAGCCTCAAGTCAAGACGTCGTGTCTATTCGCACATCTTATTTAACGCGCGTCATTGGAAGCGCGTTTGATCGCATGTTGAATTCATAATAGCACTGCCGAAAGAAAAAAAGAAAACGGAAAACGGGACCGTGAAATCCATCTTGAACGTAAATAGGGGCCTGTTAGAGAGTCTCAGATTCGCCGACGACGTCGTGTTTTCCGACTATGCCACGCGCCGAACGTTCAGGCGTGGTGCTTTCTCTTTCTAACAGCGCGAATCCCCGGCGCTTACCTTTCTTGATGAGCAAGCTAGTGACCCTCCGTAGCGCCTCGCGAGTGCTGGAGGCGGAGCTGTGCTTACTTTGGCCGAAGTATTTGTTGGGTGTGATGTTCGTGGGCAGAGTCAGCGGCTTCCTCTGGTCTCCGGTGCTCGGTAGTCGCGCGTCATAGGCGTTGTTCAGCCGCTCGAGATGTTCGATCGATGCCGGTCGCGGCTGATTCGCCTTCCTGGTGGGATACCATCCGCGATTTGGGCCCCCCGCCAACCGGAGAAGCTCAGTGCCGATTATGGCCTGCTCCAGACCGGGATTGTTCCGTCGATAGCTAAAAGTGACGCAACGAGATTAGTAAAGCGTGGATAATTCCCTACGTACGAGGAATATCTCAAAAGAAGAGTCCAAATCAATTTTCACAAATAGACTAACAAGGGGACCTCGCAAATCCGAAAATTCTGATTTTGATGAAACTTTACACACATGCAGGAGGAAGGGATAAATAGACGAATTTATAAATTTTCAGTTGCGGCCCAAAAACGATTCTAAGGGATGAAATCACCCCTCATAATGGGAGCTTTCCAGCAAGCGACACAAGTGTCGTTTTGTCTTTGTTACTCATTGCAAAAAGAAAAGAAAGATAGAACGATTTTTGTCGCTTGCTGGAAAGCTCCCATTGTATAGCGACTTTTTGCTTTTTTTTATATATATCTCTAAAAGTATTCGAAATCTCAAAAATGTTTTATACAAAAGTTTCATGATATTAGCACCTCTATTTAACTACATTAATAATATTTTAAAAAAATGATTATAAAAAAAGAGGTGGTTGCACCCCTTAAATTTTTGGGCTACAACTAAAAATTTTTTACCGTACATATAAATATCTTTTCTGATATTGTTCGGGTGAAAACGAAGGTAATGCCGATGCTTACCCGGTAGCTGTAGTGGGTGCGTACCAGCCGGGTTGTCGCCTCGACTGCGTGGGATTGCCGGCGTGTTGTGGCGTTCTGGGAATGTCGCTGCCTCTGGCGAACACCGGAGTCTCCGGTAGAGAACACGACGTCTGCATACCGGAACCGGTGCCGGTAACGACGCTCCCGCCGGTACCGCCACCGCCGGTACTACTACCCCCGGAGGAGCACGCCTCCGCCGATGGCGAGTGCCTTTTCGTGAACGGTCGTCGGCGGGATGGCCCTGGTAAATCGGTAGGCAGAGTTCTCCGTTCCACGGGCACCTGAGGGAGACAAAAGAAAATTTAATTAATGACAATTAAGATTATTTCTAGACTATTTCTAGAGCGATATACCGAGGAACATAATAATATTCTAATCTTAATTTAATCTCAGAATTATAAATTAAAGAGATGCTATCGAGATTATTAGAGTTGATTGTATATTCAAGGACATTCCGCGAACGATTTAAAAAAAAATGAGAAAATATATTTCGGCGAAGTATCTCGCGGAATAAAATAACAGTAGGTACCTATATAACTTAAATCTTGGAAAAAGTTTCTTTAATTTACTTAAACATTTTTATTTCCAAATAAATTTACAGCGTTTTTAGAGACAAATTAAAAATAAATTTCATTATTATTCAGACATTTTAATTCTTTTTTTTATTTATACGATTATGAAAAAGAGGATAAGAGTTGCCAATTAAAAATATCAAATTTGAAAAAATATTGAAAAATAGTGAAAAACTTTCATAAAACATTTTCATGTTGCATAAAATTATCATCTTTTTATTTTAAAATAATACAAAAAAATATAATCTGTCCAAAGAAAATATTCACATTTAAATAACGCAAAAGAGAATTCTTTAAAATCAAATATAGTATAAACCTAGATATTCGCAATATAATCAATTAATCATCTAAAAAACAATTTCGATAAAAACTTTTAAAAATTTCGACAGAAAATTCCCCGAAAACTTTGTATTTCTTGATGGAAAACAATTTCCTGAAAATTCCAGGTTTTCTTATAGCAGATATTTCGAATAATAATTTTAATCTGGATTTTTAATCGGTTACTTTAAATTTTAAACTTTTACACAAATGTGCTATTAATTAAACAGCTATTACCTAAGAAACAACGTAATTTTCTGCGTTAACCGAGAATGTAGAAATAAACTTACAATTAGTAGACACACGGACAATTAACTGACAATTACCGCGAGTTCGAATTACCAGAAGGTAATCATACGAGATATTGCAATAATTTTTTACCGAAATTGTTATATGAGCGCAACAGCATTCACGTAAATGATGATTTTTCAACAAAGCTGCACACTACTGATAATGCAGTTTGAAAAAAAAAACATAGTGGAAGAGAAAAAGGAGTACGAGGGTCGGCCCTTCATCAAGGACGTAAGAATCCGCCCTCGACTACGACCAGCAAGACAGATAATTATTGCGCTGTAAATCATTGTTATCGCGCCATTCGAGCACGGCCGGGCGCGGCAATGCTAGAAATTCAGTGGGCGAAAGTTCGCCGCTTCGTCTTGCCTCAACTTTTATTGCGAGACCGCCCGTGGCAATAATTAACAACTAAATGCACCGTGTTTTCGTCATGAAAAATCTGACCTTTCCTTAGTCATGCTTGAAGAATGGCAAGCCTAATTTAACGACGCGATAATGTTAATTTTAGTGTTTCCTGTAATATGAGCCAGTGTTCTTTTCTATAGCGATATCATGTTCCGACAAAGAGAAATTCGATTTTAAGTTAAAAATCGGGGAAATGTAATTAAAATTTAAAAACTCCATTAAATTTTTACAAAGGCAAAGTCTCCAGATTCACTAAGAAATTGTCCACCACCAGATTAAGAGTGTTTATATGGGGAACATTTGTATACACGTGAACTACAAGTAATCCGACGATCGTTGATTACTTGAACCACGACGATTAGACAATTAATTAATTAAGATAGTGAAGACAACAAGGAAATGTATCATAACCGACGGATTAGCCTTGTATCCGATTATTCCGAAAATCCCTTGTCGGGATTCCTTCTTCCCGTAGTTATATTAAAATTACCGCGGCTGCACGCTCGACTTCATCCGCCGGCGCGGTGAAAGCTAGCGGAAAGGACGACCGGAGAAAAAGGTGGTCAATATCCCTAATGAAAACTTTACGCAGTTCAGTCAAACTTCTTCGTCTCCCTTGCCCTTATACTCTTTACAGTTCCTCTATCCTCCCCTTCGTCCTCCTCGTATAATCCAAGCAAACTTTTCTCTTTGTCCGCCGGGTACGTTAAGGCATCCCGAATCCCGACGCAAGATTTTTGAACGGGGATACCGAGTCGACCGACGGCGTATAAATTGCGTTCCTTTAAACTTTAAGACTTGTCGATATTTATTTACATCCTATTGATGAAAATTCCTCGAAACGATGAACATCATCGTTTCGAGGAATTGTCATCAACCAATTGTGTTAGGTCACCTAACCTGATATAACACACTAATCCAGATAAAATAATATAATCTAGAATTTGCGTAAAGATGAGCACGTTAGAAATGAACAACGAACAATGAACGCGAATGTTCGAATATTTGCATTTACGTTTATTGTTTGATCGTTTCCATAATGCGGTTTACAAATCTTGATTAGAACCCGAATTAAGAAAAGAAAATGTATGAGAAAAAGATATGGTTTTGAGAATACTACTGTAACAAAATTTTTAAGAAGTCTTTTGCTGTACTATCTTTTCTCTACTTCCGAAGTTTTTAATAATATTAGATTTCAGAATTATGAGACAAGATCATCTCGTCTATTCATAGAAGAGAGTAACTTGTTCACACACAAAAATTTCTTAGCACACATTCACTAAGGAAGCGTCTGCTCCAATTAAAACGGAATCTCGGCGCCCGTTGAAGTACAAACTTATTCATTTCATTAACATAAGATCGCGTCGAAAGTCCGACTTTCCTCGACGCGAGTTTGCGTTCATTTTTATTCATACTCAGGTCGAGTCGAGTCGACTCCTATCAAGCGAAAGGAAATCGGCTCGCGACTAGTTATTCGCACAACGAGTAAACGAAATCGAATCATTTGCTCGCCGGCCAGACCGTCGCGTGTTTCATCCTTTTCCAATTAAGCAGTCTTAAAAATCCTCCCCCGTTCTCATTTCATTATTCAGTATACGAAGGTAATTGCGAAGGCGCGTTTCAACAGAAATCTGAATGTGAAGATAAATAAATCGAATGTATATTTGTGTGTATGCGTAATATAAATTTAAATATATTCTAATAAATATATTTGAAATTTTATTACATTTTAATTTTATTTTTTTTTTCATAGCATTATATTTGCGCTTTTTAAACTAAATCTTTTATTGATCGTTTTCCTATTATTTACAAAATAATTTTGCGTAAAAATACTATAAAATATACTTGGCGTTTTTTTAAAAACATTTTTAATATGTTTTATTATATTTGCATGTGCGCAACAATATAAATTTACTCTCTCTTCTTTTAAAAATTTTCCGCGCAGCAACTTGTCTTTCGTCCCTCCTCATTCTTGTAGAACAACCGAAGTTACTTGTTGTCTATCTACTTGAGGTAACTCATTGAACGAAGTTTCGCTGATGCGACGATGTAAGGAACGTGCACGAGCACGCATCACGTGACAAAGGATTGATAGATAACGTTCTTACGTGAAATTATCGCGAGATGGACGTTAATCTTAAAAGTAAAAATTATTTATTGTACATGTAAGATTTATGTATTTATTGTACATTAATTTCGCACAAAACGACTGCAACACTTTATCTCAATGACGTATAACATATGATTTTACACAGTCCTTTTTGCTCAACATACAGAAAGACAAAATATATAGATGGAAATCTCGCAATAAGAGAAGTTACCGAATTATTTTCGTGTTATTTAGAGTTTAAGATTGAAAGGATTATGGGGAATCGAGCTTTTAACAGTATAAAGTATAAGTAAACAGCGAAATCGTGTTGCGTCTTATAGAAGAGCATTCGGCTCGGAGGATCCTCGTTCTCGAAATACGTCTCTCGATTCTCATAACGCGATTGAAGGGTATACTCGATCGTAGGGATAATACAAGACGAGGGGGATAAAACGAGAGGAAGGGGGAATCAGTTCGTTCCTCCTTCCTTCTTTTCATCTTTCGAACTGGGATCCTTTTCAAGCTGCGTAAGATATCCGCTTTCTTCCAATACACGACGGGATATAACGCAGAAATAATTTGACTCCGCCGATGAATCTATTCGTAGATTCGCATAATCGATTCGTAGAAGGTCTGGCCTTAACAGTTTATCTTCTTAAAAATCACATTGCCGAGATATACCGCCTATGTGAGAGAAAATCCGTAATATTTTCTCGTATCTTTTTCATTTTCTACATCGAGTATATCTATGGATTTTCAGGGACCGTGCTTGAAAGCTTTCGAGTAGATTCTAATGGAATTTCAAGTCGATATTTAGTTTTCAAAGTTGAATATCTTGGCAATTAAGCCGCAAATTAAAATTCTGTTCAAGTAGTTTACCTAAGATTAATTGAGAAATAAGGATCAGCTGTTGATCATTATTCTCTTTTAATGACTCTCGGACTTATCGAACAGAAAAATTTTATGGATAAGAAAAATTTAACGTCTGCTTGGAAGGAACAGACTTTATGCGGTAATTTAAGAGTACCTCGTACAGAGTTCAACAAAAAAATTGTGTTTTGCAATATATTGCAGCTCGCGTAGATTGAATCCCATTTCGCGCTGCGACAGGATTACAAGAATACACGATGTGATCTCTCCGAGCCTTCGTCTGCAAAAGAGTCCTCTGCATTGAGACCTTTTATACTCGGAAGCTGTTTCAGAGATCGATCAGATCCTACACTCCTCGAGTATCGGTTCGAGCCTTTCATTTTGAACTGCGCTCAAGCATCGGTTTCAAGAACGGATCATTGAAAAAAATTGCCAATATTTGCAGCCATATTACGACCGAATTTCGTACCATACCACGATTCGCCACTCCGATTCTTTTACCTTGCGTTTTTTTTTTACGACAAGCCTCCATTCCCCGATCGACCTCACCAGGGGTGCACTATTCGGCGGGAAAAGGGGATAGGAGAGAGTGCGCCCCCCCCCCCATAAGATTCTGAAATATTTCCGTGATATTCCTTTTCAATTAAGATCCTTTGAATGAATGAATTTTTATCTTTGCAATAAAATATAAACGTATTACAGAGATTTGTCGGATCTTTTCTGGTTTTATTAA